CTATTAACTGTGGGCGGATAGAGTATAAATTCGAAGAACGACACAAAGAATAGTTCAACATTGGGATAAATGGGGATACCATGGGAAACATTCATTCCAAGTCTTACGCGATAAAAACATACAACCAAGGCACATGTTGAATCGAAAAACTGCCGCCCATCGCGTTTGGAATGTGACGCTATTGCGCATCTTTGTTCAAGCAATCTACCACTCAAGTGACCCGATTTGTGGTCCAAAGAGTGGATCCTGGCACTTGACCACAGGTGTCCTGCCAGAAGACCTAGTGCAAGTCAGAATAAACTGCAAACCTGCTGAACACATCCAATTTTTTGATTCCCCCCCACCCACCCTATATTGTTTCTTATTCATTTCTCTCCCTTGGGTAGCCCCTCGCACGTCACCCAGGAGTGCACAGCTGTGGGTGCTCAGACCCAGGCGGGTCTTGCCTAGTGCCGGCTCGCTCCCGGAGAAGAGCTTGGCAAGGAGTGGGTAATATAGGTATATAGGCATGTGCGTAACGTAGTGAAGCACAATGACCTGGTCTCCACGGGTGACCATTAGGTGTTGGCCAAAGGCCACGCTCCTCCGAATCTATGAGGAGGATTCATGCTATGTCAGACATGTGTCGACTAGCATAGAACTATGGCATTCGGATAGAGAACCTATACCATCCTTGACCATTGGGAAAAGGATATAAGACCTTGGAAGGCTGAAGGGCGAGCGCAGCACAGTATCCCCTGAACCTTCAAGGCTTATCCACAGAGAGGCACGAACCTGGCCGTAACCGTTGGGAAGGTCACAGGCTGGTTACATAGCCACAGTTCGTATAGCCGGATCTGAAGTACCACTTTTTAGCTCTAATTTTACGCCTCAAATCAACCAGTCGAGTCATACGAAAAGACCTATGAACTCGTGGACAAGATGGATCATGCAAGAGTTTTGCCATACGCCACTCAGCATCTTATCACATCCCAACGACCACTCGCCACACTACGCGCGAACACGATCACTGGTTAGATCAAAAATAGAAAGGAAATAGGCGCACCTTTCCAATAAGAAACTGCAGCTTATGCATCACACCCTGACACGGTGCTGTAACAAGCTGATTGCCTCCTAAGCATGAGGTTAAACTGCAGATCCCAGGTCCTATGCGCAAGACCAGAGGAAAAACTGCGAGCACCACCTCAAGCAAGCAACTTGAAGGGATCCCAAAGGGTTTGAGTGCAGCCCTATAGGAAAGAAAAACACATCACCAGGCAACTCCCATCAGTGTTGATACTGGTCTGGAGTCCTCAAAAGGGGTGTAGCCCAAGAAGAAGCAAAAGGCACTGCCACCATCTGGTATAGGCAACCTGGCCCAAGACTTCAAGGGACAAAAGATGCATCTCAAGCACCACCCCAACCTCCGTGCTCACGAAGATAAACTGTCAGCCCGACCGCGATGTATGTCGGAACAAACTACCAGCACCAGCATGGCCATTTTCCAGCCATAAGCGATCCCAAAGACCTATGCGCAAGTCTATAGGAATAAACTGCGAGCACCAAAAGACCTATGCGCAAGTCATTAAACTGCGAGCATGCCGATTACCCTGCCCTCCCACCCATCTGCTCAGTCAGCCTTCACAGCATCTGTTCATCGAGGACGATGAACCATGAAGTGGGAGTGATGTCACAGTATATTAGCACTTCCCTATTCGGAAGGCCCTACTGTAACTGGACTCAAGCAGCGTCACCAAAGCCAGCCACAAAAGCCATGCGACAT